TCTTAGTGGTTTTGCTTAAAATCAAGTCGAGGTCTACTCTCCCAAACTAGCAGCCATCAACAGGCCAGAATCCACTAGTAATCCTTAAGTAGTTACAACTTAGCACTTGCTGTTTCTACCCGAAGTTGATAGATCAAACTATCAATAATTTAGCACTATTCACTCACTTGTGCACTTTTGAATATTAGATTAGAAACTCATTAGAGTAAATCACGAGTAAGACAAATGTCACTCATGGTATGAATGTGACTACATTAGTGTTTGTAGTTTTCTCGGTTTTCCGTTGTGGTGTCTCTTTCAATATGCGTCGATGCTCTTATATAGTATTTGATCTTCAAACTAGCTGTTGGGCAGTCTTCAAGAAGATTAGTATGTCATTGAAGAAGATGAACAAAATTATTGAAGATCCGGTTGCCCATACAATCAGATCTTCTTGGTAATGGTGAGATTTCCCTAAATAGAGTTAGCTATACACGGTTATAGTTTATTCTACCAAATATATTACAATTAATTTGATTTTGCTATTCCTTCTGGATTCTTGAAACTAGCTGTTAATTTCCTTTTGACCCGCAATATTTGTTAAAAGAATATCCGGGTCTTCTTATCCAGATTGCGTAAATCAGGTGAAGAATATCTTCCCACATCTAATATAGTAAGCTACTTCTGTCAATTTCTCATGTGTCCATCCAAGCTTCCTGCCAGTAGTTGACATACGAGCTTGTCGATCTGCTCTTTCTTAGTACATTACTGATGAGGACTTCATTCACCTGTTCACCTCTTCATAGTATCTCTAAGTCTTCACAAACTTCCCATTCTTTCTGACTTGTTCACCCTTTATGAAAGTTCATTCAGCTTCAATTAGTCTTCTCACTTTGCACTTTGGATTCCATCAAAGGCAATAGAGCATTCTTTATATTTTTTTGGTAAGTAAGCATTCTTTATATTAACATTGCCTTAAATAAGAAAAACCTGCATTTATGGAATAATAATGAGAAATATATCGTTTTATCAGTTTCAAAGTATCATAGGATGTTTTCCCAACACTATTGGCATTGGTCATGGTGGACAACTAGGAGTTGGACTAGTTGGATGTCAAGACAACTTTTCTACATGGAGAGTTAGAGAAGCATATATACATAAAACAACTGGAATGTTTTTGTAATTTCAGGCCGTGAAGACAAGGTACACTTGCTCAAACAATTCCTCTATGGCCTTAAGCAATTTCATAGTACAAACGATTTAACTCTTTTATATCTGGTTTGTAGTATAGTAGGAGTGCTCACGATAATGCATGTACTATAGGAGGTTAGAGGGCTGTACCTGAATTTTTGTTGTTGTTGTATGTTGATGATATATTGATTGTAGTTAGGAACATGTTTTACATTGATGAGCTGAAACGACAATTGACTAATGAGTTCAAGATAAAAAAACTTATATGCAATGAAAAAGATACTTGGTCTGGAGATCCAAAGGGATAGATTTGCAGGGATGCATCGGCTATCACTAAGTGATTACATACGTAAAATGTCGAGGCGGTTTGGTATGCAAAATGTCAAACCAGAGAGTACCCCGCTAGCTGCGCACTTTAAGCTTCAATTGACCTTTGACCATAGTCAGACGATAAGAGGAAATACATGTTCCATTTTCCCTATGCTAGTGATGTTAGTAGTATTATGTACGTTATGATTTGCATTAAGCCAGATATTTCACATGATGTTAGCAGGTGCATGAGTAATTTTGGAAAGAAACACTAGGAAGCTGTGAAATGGACTCTGAAGTTTCTAAGAGGCATATAGAAGTCGGTTTGACAGTTGGGAGGAGAGGTTCCAAGAGGTATAACATGTCATGTGGATTTAGATTTTGTTGGTGACTTGGTTGGACAGAGGTTATTGACTAGTTATGTGTTTTGTTTTGCAAGCCATGCCGTCAGTTGGGAAGCGCAATTACAATCGATAGTTGCTTTGTTGACAAATGAAGCAAAGTATATGCATCAAGAAAGTTATTTGGCTCAAATGTTTGCTAAGTGATCTAGAATCATAGCAGGATAAGATTTTTGTTTATTGAAACAATCAATGTGCAATATATTTGATGAAAAATCATATGTATTACGAGCAGACGAAACATATTGATGTTGGATACCATTGTATACATGATATTGTGTCACAAAGGACCCAATCCATTGAGAAAGTGCACATGGTAGATAATCCAACAAACATGTTAACGAAGCCTATCCCGTTGACCAGGTTCGGTATTGTTTAGACTTAGTTAGCATTTGCAGCGGTGAGGAGCCTAGAGGGGCTCGTGATAGACAAGGATCGACAAAGATGAAGTTGGACTTCTCGCCAACGTGGAGATTTATTGATTATAGCTCGAAATTGATCCGAATTGATTTGAAACCCGATGAATAATTAAATTTAAGTAAATGATGACCATATTGGGAAAGGACAAATTGAAATCTTGCTAATGGGATCCTGCGTGATGTAAAAAGAGAAATTAAGTTCCCGGAAGATTTCTTTTTCTTATTGAAGATGAAGTCCATGTTCACAGAGGACAAGTGCTAAAACATGTTTCTATATAAATATTTTGTTGCCGAGTTTGGTCCGGTGTGCATGGTGAATGTGCTTAATATGTGTGAACCCTTGCAAGAGACACAGAACACTGATAGCCGTCATTTTTACTGATTATAGTGAAAAAATCCTATTGGTCTCTCCTCGTGAAGTAGGCACACCACTGAACAACGTAAATCCAATGTAATCACATTTCATTTTTACAATTTATTTCTTACTCAAATAGTTTCATTTGTTGACGCTTCCACGTTAATCCCAGTAGTTAGAAATATATTTACTCAACCCTATCCCATCAAGGATTTAGAGAAAGGAGTTTTGGTATACTTATTAATCAATTGTTCTCTTCATGATTAAGCACACTAAGACACTTGATCAAGCAGTTGCTTGTTAGGCACACAAAGCACAATGCCCAAAAAATCAACTGACCAAGTGGGTCTTCGTATCTGATAAAAAAAAAAAAAAGTGAGTCTTCTTAAGCAATCCATCTACTTCGGGAATCCAACAATTCTTGAAATTTAGTAAGCATATACATACAAACATAATAATAGACACAGGTAGTTCCTTAGTTCTCTACTCCTTCATAATGCAGGCATCATCTGCTTTATACGTGTACAACTTTGATGCTCTCAAGCCCCCCAATCATTAAATCTTCAATTCAAGCAATTTGCTACTTGCATGTTACATGAGTTCATATTCTAAGATTAGAGAATATTTCAATTAAGTCGTTTTCAGGCAAAAGTTAGGAAGATATCTGCCTTAACTCCTTCGAGTTGGTTCAGATGTATACGTAGCCAAGATGCCTAATGAAAGAATAGCATTGATTATCGGTGGTCCAATACAGACACCTCACTATACTTGAGCTTTCACATTATTTAATTATCTATATATTATCATTCTCGAATATTTTCATATAGAATTCGGACCACTAAGTGGGCTGGTCAAAAAGCTTGAACCCTACTACTTCTTCTGATTTTATTATTGGTTTTCTTGGAGAATTTCTACAGTGAATGCACCGGAATCAAAAGTGCCCATTCGTTGTTCTTCAAGTACCTAATTGTCAATATCAACAGCTACACAACACAGCTGATCTTTTTGGAATACGTAAACCTAAAATAAAGCATGCTGAACTTTTCTATCTTAAGTTTTTTTGTATGAATAGATGGTTTTTGCATTAAAAAAGCTTAATGGCATCTTCAATCGTGAAAGCCAAATTGGAGGGATGCCAAGAAGGAAAGTGCAACATGTACGATCATGGTCGCACCACGTGTCATCTAGGCAAAGGGAAATTGATTGGGGGTACAGTTTTGGACCTATAATTAGTATGTTAGATTCAACTTTATCTCTTTTTATAAGGAAGAGTATGAGTGGAACAAGTTATTTCTAGAAATGTGGTTGGACATGTAAGTGAAATATCTGGACATCTGAAGAAGTTCTTTCTTTGCTTTATTGAACATTTTGAAGTTGTCCATATCTGACCAAAAACGAATTTCATAATTTTTTTTAAGGATGAAGAACCCCACATTAAGGAAATGTGAGAATGACTTAACAAAGAAATATTGAAGTTTGGCTGGCTAATCGAAATACTAATTGACGTGGCAGACTGTAAGCAAATGTGAGAATCGGCTCAGGATTGGTTGGCTCGAAGTGCAAAAATGGGCAGAATTGAGCATGGAGCTCTCTTCTTGGGCTCGACCAATCCCGGTTCAATCAATTTTATATAAGGAATTGATAAATTTTTTTTTATTGTGGGTGGCTTTGGCAAAGATTTTTTGGTTCGATCCCTGACATATCTAGCTAGTTCATCAAGTCTAATTATAGGTAGGCATCTATATAAACGAATCCCATTTTACAATCGCCAACGGTTTGCCATATCGCTAGATATAGTAGTCTCGTAAGTGGGTGTTATTCAGTATGTAAGTAGCATTGTTGACCTAAAACTATCATTTTACCACATCCAAAAAGATTATGACAACCTTGTGCGGTCGTTGGATTACAATAAGGTTTGAATGGACGAAAATTTAATCACTATATAATGAATGAATACCCTACCCCCTAAAGATCTACTAAGCACCTTCCTTTCCACAGCTCATTGGGGAGCAAAAGATGATTCTAAAGTACCACTTTGTTCAGCCATCAATGGCAATCGTTCTTCCAAAGAATCGTGCAATGCAAATTGTCAGGGCAACACCACTTACAACCTTGCAAATCGTTGTGCCTCCATGAAAAGAAAAAAAGGAGAAGCATTTGACTGGCTTCTGCTTTACTTATTCACAATGACTTAAACAAATAATATAACTGGGTATGAATAATGAAGGAACCTTATTCTTTTAACAAGCGATGGATGAGAAGCGACACACGTGAGAAGGATCCTGACGAAATTAAAGGTGGTGCTTATAAAGAGAGATGAAGTAGAATATGATCTCAGATGCTGCTGCTTCTTTCAGCTATAAAAAGCCCCTAAGTTCTTCCAAGTAAGCCACACTAATTGATCTCTACGAATCATATCTTTCGACGGTCCTCTTCTTGAGGAGAGTACTTCATTTGTTGGAGCGTTGGAAGAAGTCGGAGGCCTCCGCGAGATGACGGTAAGAGCATCGCCATTTCCGATTTATTTAATCTGCACAACATTTGAGTTCAGCATCTTGTTAATCATTGAATCTCGCTCGGAATCCTAACTGTCTTTAAGCGTATGTGATACATCAATGCATCTTATTTGAACGATCGATCACGAGAACTGAGCGACGGTGCTTTAAACTATCAGGTTCATAAACAAGACGACACGTTTCGGAAGAAAGAAAACTAACATGCCTTCCTTATTAAATGTTTGGAAGAGTTCTGAAATCTAGTTGAAATGGGTAAAATGGTACCAAGAATTCATATTTTACCAAAAGGGTTCACGAATTCCCAAATCAATCGAATATCTAGGTAAAGCAAAGGGAAGCTTTCGGAGTCAATATCTCAAAATCTTTTACCAAACTGCTAGTACAGATAGAGACAATCAACCATCAGATGAAAACAAAGCGCTTGATGTAATTTGTATAGTTAATTATTCCTTTCGATCGGACCATCCCAAGATATTTTCTGTTCAATTAAGTCCCGACACAAGTATAAGCATATGTATTAATAATCTATAAATAGGTGATGGATTGTTAGGGGAAAAGTTGGATTTCTAGTAGTTTCATACGGTAGTTACACGTCAATTTTAATGCAGATACCCACAAATATATATATTTCCCTTTTTCGGTTTCCTCAGTCTTTTGCCTTTTGTTATATAATATTATAATTATACACACACACACATATATATATATATATTGCCACTGAAAACGAGTGGACTGACGATCGAGGGAGGTGAGGTAAGGTAGGCCAGCTTGAGGGTGCTAAAAGGATGTGACAATCCGCGTGCGTGGACACTACAAATCTGCCGTCTAAACTTATGAAATCAAATAACTTACTAAAAAAAAAACAGGATGAGTCTTGTATTTTTATGTCCGAATCTTTGCACGACGGAAACAAGCCGCGCGAACACTTCACGGTGAAACAGCATCGTAGGCTTGTGTGTTAGTATATGTCCAAATTGATTGCCAACGCACACTCGCTTTCCTTTTCTTTTTTTTTCTCTTTCGGACATGCAATGTACACTTACTGAGCTAGTCAGTTATATGACCTCGTTGGTCGCATCATAGCATGATACGAAGATCTATCCCCTAATTGCTGTGTATTCCCTACTGATTATACGAAAACGTACTTATACAGGCATGCATAAACTGGGAAAGTAGATTTATACACCCAGAAAGCAGCTAGCGGTTATTACGTGCATCTACCACAAAAAAAATTGACTGCAAAAGGCAACACAAAACAAAATTTTTAAAAAAATAGAAAAAGGACAGAAGTGGGACTGTGGGAGTCCTCACCCCATGCGCGTAACTCCAGTGTCCCTTTCTATTTTGGCACGTGGCACTCGAACGCCACTTTCTCTCTCCTCGGCCCCTTCCCCTCTCTCTCTCCTCCTCTTTGCACCAGAGCTCAGCTATATATAGCGAGCTTCCATCCCCTTCCCATCCTCACTCCATATCTCCTCTCATTCTTCTTCTTCTTCCTCCTCTTCGTCTTCTTCTTCGAACGCTGTGACCAACCCAAGCCTCCCAGAGATTCGTGTTCTGAATCTCCATAACTCGATATTTTTTGGGGAGCCTACGTCTCTTGGTTGCCGTGCGTGCGTTCGTGTCTCTCTCTTATAGGCTGTGTTTTTGGTGCGACAATAAACTGCGCACGGACAAGAACTGTCCCGAGGAACACCGCCCACTTGTCTCTCCTCGCAGCTTCTGATACCCCCCTTCTTTTTTCCCTGAGTTTTTCGTGAGCTCATACTTTTCTGGGTTCATTTGATCTTGGTGATACGAAGATGGGTCAGAACGGAGCTGGCTTCGAGGTCTCGCTTGATCTGCATCAGCAAGGCGGTGGCTCCTCCAAGTGCTTCGACGACGACGGCCGCCTCAAAAGAACTGGTAAGCAAGAAAACAAGCACCTTGCAAATCGTTTATCTCTATTATCAAACTGTGATCTATTTCGCTTGGTCAGTTCGTGCGACAAAGCATCTGGTTCAGAAAGCTTTGCCCACTTCCTTTTTCTTTTTTCGTTTCTCCCCTTTCGTTCTTTTGACCGCAGAGAGAAAGTAGAGAGTGAGGTTTTAATGGGGTCTTTCTTGTACGGTTGCACAAGCTGTGAAGGCGAAAGCCACTTTTGCACAGGTTTAACTGGTGAAAGACGTTACACATTGTGTTCAGCTTGTGTTTCTCTCCCCCAAATAGATCCAAATGTCTCGCGGGAGCGAGTAGAGTCCAAAAATGTTCTAGCAAAAAAAAAGGGGTAGAGTCCAAAAATGTTTAGCTGGACGGGACTCAATTATTTGCATGCACTCGGTATCCCGACCCAACAAAAAATAATAGAAGAAGAAGAAGAAGGAATAAGCATTATTGGTGTGATGTGTGATTGACCAAAACCAGGTCGACAGTCAGCCCTGTGGTGATAGCTAGAGTTGGGTTCGATCCCTCTAGAAAGGCCCCCAAGAACATAAATTTTTACTGTTCACTAGCTCCAAAGAAACATTAGTTGATTTCCTGTGTACTTGAGAAGGGAGGTAACTTTTTCTGCAACTTTTACTGATACCGGAGCTGGGTTTTGTTGTTCTCGGTCGAAATCAGGGACTGTGTGGACGGCCAGTGCTCACATCATCACAGCTGTGATCGGGTCGGGAGTGCTATCGCTGGCATGGGCCACGGCACAGCTCGGGTGGATCGCCGGGCCGGCGGTGATGTTCCTGTTCTCCTTCGTCACTTACTACACCTCCGCTCTCTTGGCCGCTTGTTACCGCTCAGGCGACCCTGTCACCGGCAAGCGCAACTACACTTACATGGAGGCCGTCCATGCCAATCTCGGTAATAATTCATAAAAAAATAAATAATAAAAAAACGAAAAATCTTGGTCCACCCACAAATCTTTTCGCGTAAAGATGCTCCCTTTCATTTCATTTGATTGATGGAATTTTCTCATTTTTCTTCTCTTATTTGGAATATTGGCAGGTGGGGTAAAAGTGAAGTTATGTGGAGTAGTTCAGTACCTGAACCTTTTTGGGGTTGCCATTGGTTACACCATTGCATCCTCCATAAGCATGATGTGAGTGGTGAATTCAATTATACTCGAAGTCAAGTAAATACCAAAGAAAATGAAAAGAAAAATTGGATTGCTAGAGTTGTTAATTGGATGCGCGATTACCCGTGATAATTTTGGTTTTATTGAATGTTTAATCGAACAGGGCAATCGCCAGATCAAATTGCTTCCACAAGAAGGGTGACGATAGTCCCTGTCACACGAGTAGCAATCCGTACATGATCGCCTTCGGGGTCATCGAGATCTTTCTTTCCCAAATCCCGGACTTCGACCAGCTGTGGTGGCTCTCCATTGTGGCCGCCGTCATGTCGTTCACTTACTCAACCATCGGGCTTGGCCTCGGCATCGCAAAAGTTGCAGGTTGGTAGCACGTTTTTATGCTTATCCATTCTTTGTGTATGGACATGTCATGTGATGATTAAATCAAACTAGATAGATTGAGTAGAAGAAAGCCCGACACTAGTCCTCATATCTTGTCTTTCTCGAATCTCAACCAGAAAATGGCAAATTCGGAGGAAGTCTCACTGGGATAAGTATTAACGCTGTCACTGGTGTCACTGAGACCCAGAAGATATGGAGGAGCTTCCAGGCCCTTGGTGACATAGCTTTTGCCTATTCATACTCCATCATCCTCATTGAAATTCAGGTATAATTATGCGAAAAACTTCCCTGATTGATCTAATTGTTGGCTGTGGTAAATTACTGATCAGTGTGATGTGTTGAAAAACAGGACACGATTAAGTCCCCGCCATCAGAGTCCAAGACGATGAAGAAGGCCACGTTGGTCAGTGTGGCGGTCACGACTGTATTCTACATGCTCTGCGGCTCCATGGGCTATGCTGCATTCGGGGACATGGCGCCCGGGAACCTCCTCACGGGTTTCGGGTTCTTCAACCCTTATTGGCTCGTTGACATAGCGAATGCTGCCATCGTAATCCACCTCATTGGTGCCTACCAAGTCTACTGCCAACCTCTCTTCGCCTTCATCGAGAAATACTCTGCGAAAAGGTTTGCTGACAGCGAATTCATCACCAGGGAGATCGAGATCCCGGTCCTGGGCTTCCGGCCCTTAAAGCTAAATGTCTTCCGGTTGATTTGGCGAACCATTTTCGTGATTCTAACCACCGTGATCTCGATGCTGCTCCCATTCTTTAATGACGTGGTCGGATTGCTTGGCGCTCTAGGATTCTGGCCTTTGACGGTTTACTTCCCGGTCGAGATGTACATCGCCCAAATGAAGATCCCCAAGTGGAGCACCAAATGGCTGTGCCTCCAGATCCTCAGTGGAGCTTGCCTCATCATCACTATAGCCGCTGCCGCGGGCTCCATCGCCGGTGTCGTGCTCGATCTCAAGTCCTACAAGCCTTTCAGTACAAGCTACTAATTTGCCCCGACATCACCAATCGTCCCATTGCTGATGAGGAGTCGCGAGGCAGGGGAGGAGTTTAATTTTAGGATTTTCCTTCTTTTTGATGTTCATAGGATGCTCCAGGAAGAGAAATTACTCCATATGTTGATCAATAGTTGGGTATTGTTTTCCGGTGGATGTAACGCAAGGTTGAACCTTGTACTCTGCTTCTTCTTGCAAGATATGAAAAGGGTGACCAGCAATTACTATGATGTCGCCTCGCCTACTCTGTTTCGGTTTCCCGGAGAGAAAAAAAAACAGGAAAAGCACAAGTTGACAAAAAGTCCAAGACAACATCTGCCTTTTCAACGTTTGACTAAAATTTTTTTGACAAGTTAGGAGCCTATTGCTTGAGGTTGTCCACACTGCCATCATTCGCAAATGGACCCAACAATAGAAAAAATGGGGACTTGTAGCATAAAAGAGATGATGAGAAGATAATGAGAAGGCCTTATCGAATGCATCTAACTTATTGAATACGGTGAACCCGTATCAGATTTAACACGCAATCCGTTAAAAGTAACGGTTAAAATGAATTCGAGAGTCCAAACTATCTAAACAGCAAAAGGCTTATATTAAGAATCAAGGAACATACATGCACCGAGTCTAGACAAGAGAGTGGCTAAGGTATGTGAGCATCTTTTCACCCCCAAGATCACGTTGAAGTGAAAATGGAACATTGCCCAACTTCATGAACACCATCGAAAGTGCTTTGTTTCTTGTCACGCTTGATGTTTGGAGTCTGATTTGACAGGAACTTTGGCGGTTCTGAGATGATCTTTGACGTGTCATCGGGTGGTAGTATCATTCTCTCCGCAAGCATAACTTGGGTGGACTCTAGCTCTTTCTAATCAAAAAATAGAATCTCCAATCTCCGATCAGCCAAAGGAAAATTAGAGAGAGAGAGTGAAGTGATCTCTCGAGCACGATAACATATGAACCTGCCATGTTCATTATTTATTGCGTACGATTATCCAACAAGCAACTCCTAGGAATGAGTGCTTTATCACGCACCACGGATTATGCCCATATGAAGTTTTCAGGTTCGTATGATGTGGTCCCTTTTAACTTTCAACTGGGCAATTTCACTTTGCCTATTCCTTCTAATACTTCACCATTCAACACGGGAAGTCTGATCTTTTTGACAATTTAACTCTGTGAAAGTCTCAAAGCAGAAGAAACTTTCGGCCGACTTATGGATCGGAGGGCCGTCCAACGATGCCAACTCCACTTTTTCTTCTTCTTTTTCGGGTTATTTTTTGACAAATGCCACATTAAGCCTCTTGTTTTGTATTTGGACCGTGCAAATTTGCCTATGATTGCAATCAGACACTCAAGACTCCACAGCCCAAATAGTACGCACTCTCAAGTATCAACCACAACTTTGCAGATTTCACGTTGAAGTAATGGTGAGAAATGGCAAATGGGATTGGTTTGCTGGGAGTGGATGATTTTCCTGCACCAAGAAATCAACTGAATATCTTGACTTGTGCGATGGATTGAGGGAAAAACAGAGGATAGGACAGTCAATCCATATGGAAACAACGGGAGGAGGATGTAAGTCAAACAAAAGAAGCAGAACACTAAGACAATAGTTGAAGCCATTTAGAGGGATCCATTTATATAAAGTGCAATCGACCCGAGTAGAGTCAATCTACAGAGTTACTGGAACAATCTCAACCAAACTGGAACAGTCCTGGCCCGATGAATGATTCACTCGTGCTCAATTGAAGTTCATTGTGCTAGTTCTAGTGCATTTCAGCAAAATGATTCGTGAGCGCGAGCAAACTTGGACTGGAAAAACTTCTGTCAGCTTGAAACGGCCCAATATGAGGTTACCGTCTTGAATTTAGAAACTATAAAAGGAAAACCCGTTGCGATGTTCGCGATGGGGCCTGAAAAGGCATTTAAGCTACATTAGTATAATTCAAGCACGATAGTTGAGTGATTATTTTTGTGGATAGGCCTGATTCAAAGCGTGAAATTTCAAATCATTTGTTGGTTACTTGTTTTCACTGTCGTAGTTAAGCAGAACTGGGTGTTTGTTTCCATTAGAATTGGGTTCACTTTTGATTTAGTAACACTTCGTGTGTGTGTGTGTGTGTTCTTTTTTATCAGCAAAAGGAGGAGGAGCAATCAACACGGCTATTCCATCTGACATTACTATAAGGTTCCCACACCCATTATGTGATGTTCGATTTGAACCATAACTACTTAGTTCATCCATACATTTACAAACCTATCACCATAATCCTACCTCAACTTACTTCAAAGCAGGTGGACGAGCTGGTTGCTAGATGATATATGTAAGGGAAAACATGAGTCTTTATTTGGTTCAAACCTTTGCTCGTGTCAAAGAAGGATGGTTCTTCAGAGTATGTGTAGATAGCCGAGCCATCAATAATATAACCATTATGTAAAAGTACCCAATATCTAAACTTGATGACATGCTTGATTAATTGTCTTGCTCTACCATATTTTTGAGGATTGATCCGAGGAGCGACTATAGTCGGGAATTCTCTTCACATTGAAGCGTACGCTGAAGACACAAGTTGGTTAGAGACTCGCTTACCACATGGCTCGAACTTGTGACCTCATGAAACATATTATGACCACCTTACTACTCGACTACCACTCTCAGTGGTAACATTTTGAGTGTTTTCGTCCAAGTAAGGGTGTCAGTAAGTTGTGTAATAACTAATAGGGAAAATCAACTTTGCAATGGTTACACAAAGCGTAGGTACAAAGTAGCATAACTATTCATCCCCCTATGCGCAAAATTTACTAAATTGCCCCCAAATTTCTTGGGGGGTTTCATACGATCCTCCAGGTTATCAATTTGAACAATGTTACCCCCAACTTTTTATGATCAACTAAATGTTCCCCCCTCCTCCCCTCTCTCGACCCACAGCCCGATCAATTTTTGTCGGAAGTCGGAGCACGTGAGCTCACTTGAGACGCTGGATTAAACATATGGAGGGTAAAAGCGTCCAACAAAGGAGGGCTAAAGTCCCAAACTCAACTCCTTCACCAGATTGTATGTGGAAGGTTTCATTGTCACCGTAAAACTTGCTGAACTATTTTCCTCCGAGAGCACCACACGAAGTCTTCATTACAACCCTTCTTCCACAATTGCTGAGATTGTTCATTTCTCCATTCCCAATTTACTTGATCGCAATTGAAAGTTTGGGGTACTTGTTGAAAACCTAATCGGAGAGAGGAGGGGACGATTTTAGGAGTTCGGACGCTTTTTCTTGTTCAATCTCAATTATTGGGCTCTTTTTAAAGAGGATAAAAGAAACAAGCGGTGGACAGTTTGCCCTTGACACGTGGAATTTGGCGTGTCACGTGAAGTCCCGTGCTCCGACTTCCGGCGAAAATTGATCAGGATGTTCGTCGGAGGGGGTCATCGAGCTGATTATGAAAGGTCAAGGGCTACATTGAGTAGATTACAAAAAATTAGGGGGACGTTGTTTAGATTGTAAACCTGAGGGGTCATATAAAAATCCCCAAAAAACCTCAGGGGCCGCACATATGCATTTATGAATGAATTATAAAATAATGAATTCACCTATACCATGTGTATTTTGCATGACTTTGGTTCTATATAATTAGTGAAGTAAACAAAATGTCTCGAACCTACCTTATATGATGAACAGCAAGCAAAATCTTGGATGGGAAAATTCAACTGTTACTAATTAAATGTACGGATCTCTCTAAACTATTAATTCATCTATAGCGGAAAAAAATAAATGCGGAATCAATTTGGAAACTCTTCAGCCAGGGAACGAAGGTTCCAAAGAGGAACAAAACTCAGTGGAGATGATCATATACTCACTGATATTAATTGATTACGGAAATTATCAGCGGACTTGGTGCAATATAATTCTTGAAGAATTCATTTTTAGGACCACTAAACTATTCATGAGAGAAATGGTAACTGTCCTAGAAAGTTTGCTAGAGTAACCATTCCAAAAACTTGGTCCGAGGAGGCCAAGGGACAAGAAATGAAATACTACTCACACTTACCTAGCTTCGAATTAAGATGTCGGTTCAAATCCGAAGAAAATGATGTCCAAAGATTCATCGAATCATAACGACAATGCGCGAACAGAAATTGATCCCTATGATTGAAGCTATATATTCGCGGTACCATAGACTTCATCCACAAGCAGTGGAGAACATACATGGGAGACCCAGAAAGTAAACATGCATTTCTGGCATATAATTCACAAGGATGACAGTAAATATGTGGAGAGATACTACCAATTGGGGTTGTTTGGAGCATTAATATTGTCAAACATCAATAGCTCCTCATGATGAAATATCCTTGTAAAGGAGAATACTTGGGTGTTAGATTTAAGATTCTGAGGTGAAAAAAGCTAATCTTATGTTCCGTTTGTCCATTTTCTCAAAGCGGGCATACCAGAATTGACGATTACTACACGTTTTTGTGGGCTATGTGATTTCAATTGTAGAAGATCTGCATTCTTCCATCACAAAAACAATATTCGAGACCACGATCAAAAGCTCTAATGAATCAGAATGAATGCAGAGTTGATGACAGCCATCATCAAGTCGAGCAGATACCCAAGTTCAAATTTTTAAAAGCACGATATCAACATGACGGATCACAGTAAAAAGGGTCACTGATGAACCATTTCGAAGGCGAATCCCCACACGGGAAATCGAAAAGGGAAACCCTAATCTGACAGAGGAAAAAGAGACTGAATTCTCTCGGACTTCCTCGATTCTACCGCTAAACCAGACTGACTATTGTAGAAACACGACGGAGTTCTTGTGCTAAAACTGCCTAATTGGCGATCATCAATTCCATCATCGACAAACTTGATAATCACCACCGTATCAGTAGTATGTACCCAGAAAAGCGCGGGACTAACCAGGATCAGTCAACATTCTTCAACAGCTTCGTCCCCATCTTGCAAGCCAGGAAAGCGTCGATGCTCGCGTGCTTGATCAACTCGTCGGAGAGCCTGAGATCATAATCCCACTCGCCCGGGCCGTACTTATATTGATTCCGCCACTTCATCTTCCTCGGCCTCGCCACCTCCGCTTCCCCTCCCAGCACGACCCTCGCCAGCTGCTCCAGATTCTTCCTCCGGAAGTCCACGTAACCGGCCGAGACCTCCTCGGACCTCTCCGCCAGCTTCCGGAGCTCCACGGGCTTCCGCATCGTCAGCCCGAACTCCCTCTCGAGCTCCTTGGCCATCGCCTCCATCCCGACGCCGAAGATCCTCGAGTCGTGGACGAAGTCCTTGAGGACCTTGGGGATCGGGTGCGAAGGATGGAGCTCGTAGAGAAGGCACTGGTTCCCCACGCACAGCTGAAGCAAGTCGTAGGGATTGTCCTTCGAACCAGCTGATCACATCAACGAACTCGATCAAAGCGAACCGACGAGGGAATAAAATGTCGATCCTAGGGCCTAGGGTTTCGCGATCGGGGACAAAACATGCTTAATCGAAGGGGAAGAAACCACCTACGCGTCAACATGTAGGGTTTGTACGGGGCGTTCGCGTAGCTCCGGCTCCGCTCGGCGGAGACGCCGACGACGACGGCCTCCCCCTTCTTCCCCTTGCGGTGCGACTTCTGGACCTGCTGGACCCAGTCCTTGACGGCGGCGTCGCCGCCGCCGCCGCCATCGGGGCCGCCGGCGACGGTGGCGGCGAGGAAGAACTTGCCGCCGATGATGACGTCGAACACGTGCTTCCGGCTGGGGTCCTTCTCGATCTGTACCTCCATGGCCTTGATCTCCTCCTCCTCCTTCGGCGACGCCATGATCGTCTTCCTTCAGGATGGCTCGCGGCGTGGGAGACGTGAAGGAGCGAAGCAAGATGAAGGGAAAATCCCTATTTATAGAGATTTTGTGTTTTGGGCGGCAATTTTAATCGGATTTTATTTATTAAAAAATCATTTAAAATTGAAATTTTCCCTCGAGTGCGCGGGGGACTGGGCCTTTGTGGGCCTTTGCGACCGGTGTAGCCCAACGAATCTTCCAATGGGCCTGTCAATCTCTAGGCCCAACTGTATCCGACGAAAGTCTATTGTTTAAGATAAAATATCTAGAGAAAAATAAAAAAATAAAAGAAAATAACCTTTTGCATTTGATTAGTGAAAAGCAAACCGACACGTGGTACATTTAACTTTCATTTTGTGTTTGATGTAGGTGGGGATGCTTCTAGGACTAGTTCATGTACCTGGCAAAATCTCTAAGGTATTTGTCATTTTGTGGGAGTATTATGCTCTAAGTATATATTTATCGCAGGTGTACCAGTTTAAGAAATTTTATAATAAAAAATTATCTTTGAGTAAATTTACCATATGTGTTTCAGTTTGGGATTTTTCGTGATACCAACCCTTTTGCTTTTGTGGTGCTTTTCAAATCTTGTGTGTTTGAAGAACTGCTTTGTGCTGTGCAAATGAGAAAATCCTACATGGGCTTCAGCCATACCTCAAGCCCACAAAAAAAGACCGGGCTCGAGTGGGCCCAAATCAGCCCAGATAGGTAGGCTTCTGCTCGAGAACGAAATTACTTGTCTATACCCACCCTGATCGCGTGCTTCGTGCCTAATCGGCTCGGGCAAGCTGTCAAGCCCATGTTTAGATCCCGTTCGAATGAGAAATGAGATAAAGCATTAAGAGAATCCTCGCGGTCGCTCATTTAACCCAATTTATAGTTGAACTTGAAAAGTGAACTCAGATATAAGCGAGATGATAAGAGAAATCGAAAGTTCATCGACTCGTTTGAAGATAAGGACATCATTTTGCAAGCACCACCAATACACGCTCTTTTGACGTGGATGTGTGTATTCCAAATAAATTGGTCTCTAATTCGTGGAATGTCATGACTCACGATGCGAGTTTATTTTTCCATCGATATGGCAATAAGACTATATGTTGAAAATATGTCTCGAGTTTAAGCCCGAAGCGGAAATCTAAATATTCTGAATTGGATATTTTGCGGATCTCCGAAACCGAGCAAAAAGGAAATATTTGAAATTCACTTTCCTAATGCACGTTGGAGTCCTTGTTCTCAAACTGGAAAGTTCACATGAATTTTATGTTGAACTTTGACTCGGTCAATGTGTTAGAAGAAAGAAAGAATATTATTCTTTCCTAATGCTTGTGGAATTCACGGCCAAAGGGAAAGATAAAATAGGAAAGTCCAAAATTTGTTTTTGGTTGACCATGTATTACGTGGACTTTGTTTCCTATTTGACGTGGCAATCTTCACGATGGAATTTTGCACTTCCTCTGGCGGTGGGTTTAATATAAATACTTATCAAGATTCCTTTGGAGAAGTCAGAGAAGTATTGAAGCGCCGCGGTTGACGTCGAGTGCTTGGCGTGGGTTTATCTCCCTGGGATTTTGTTCGTAGAATTACACCAAGAGCTCAAGTGTTCGTAGCGATTAAATCTTGTGTTAAGATTTGTGTATAATTCTTTTGCGAGATTGAGAGATTATTTCGTGAGGAATTGTGGGGCTAAACACTGTGTGCGTTATTGGGTGTAATTAGGGCTTGGGAAACACTTAGAGTGTTTGAGTGACTCGAGTGTGGTTGTAATCTCCGTTGTATCGCTTGATCTATAGTAGAATTCCATGCTGCACTCCCCGTGGACGTAGGTCACTACGACCGAACCACGTAAATCTGGTGTCCGATTTATTTTCTTATTCTGTCAATTTTATTGCTCGATCGCTTGACTTCCGCAACAATTGGTATCAAAGCCTGGCTTGGCTGAGTTGAAGCGAATCGATGGCGATAGAAGAAGGAAAAGTGAGAATCGACAGATTTGATGGTAAGGATTTTGGTTTCTGGAAGATGCAGATTGAGGATAATCTATATCAGATGAAACTGCACTTGCCCTTGTCTGGGAAGAAGCCAGAGACGATGAAGCAAGCTGATTGGGAATTGCTGGATAGACGAGCTTTGGGTGTTATTCGGCTGACGTTGGCACGTAACGTCGCGTTTAACATCGTGAAAGAGACAACCACTCCGGGTTTGATGAAAGCCCTGTCGGACATGTACGAGAAGCCTTCTGCGATCAACAAGGTCTATTTGATGCGACGTCTGTTTAATTTGAAGATGAGCGAAGGTGCGTCAGTTGCTGATCATATTAATGAATTCAATGTGATCGTTAGTCAATTGAGTTCAGTTGAGATTGATTTTGAAGATGAGGTACGTGCTTTGATTCTATTATCCTCATTGCCTGATAGTTGGAATACTACTGTTACTGTTGTTAGTAATTCCTCTGGGTCAACAAGTTTGACGTTTGATGGTGTTTGAGATTTAATTCTGAGTGAAGACATCCGTAGAAGAGAATCTGGCGAACATGTATCTGCTGCTTTAGTAGGTGAAAATAGAGGAAGAACTGGTACACGTGTTAGCAGAAGTAGTATGAACTCGAATAGACGAAATCAGTCTAGGACTGGTGGTATTGTCTGTTGGAGTTGTGGCAAGAAGGGGCATCTTAGAAGGGATTGCCTTAAGCTGAAAAACGATAAGGGTAAGGGAATTAGAGTTGAGTCTGTGGATGATGTTGCAGCTATAGCTGATGGTAATTCGGATGATGCTGATTATGTCTTGTCTGTCACTGATAATTCGTCGTTTGGCGGATGGATTATGGATTCTGGTTGTTCTTTTCACGCTACACCTAACAGGAATTGGTTTACTACTTATCAGTGCACGGATAGTAGTAAAGTGCAGTTGGGGAACAATTCTGAATGCGATGTTATTGGTGTTGGTGATGTTAGAATTAGAATGCATGATGATATCGTGTGGACATTGACTAGAGTGAGGCATGTTCCAGAGTTGAAGAAAAATCTGATTTCCTTGAGTGCCCTGGATTCAGCTGGGTGTCGATATTATTCAGAAGGTGGAGTTCTAAAAGTTCTTCGAGGTGCCATGGTGATAACGAAAGGAATCAAGCATAGTGGCCTGTATAAGCTTCAAGGTGAGACAGTGACGGAATTCGCTGCGGAGACGTCGAAAGCATCGGTTCGAGAGTCTAAATTATGGCATATGCGTTTGGGGCACATTAGCGAGAGAAGCCTGAAGGTTCTAAGTGAAAGAAATTTGTTATGTGGTTATGTGGCTAACGAACTGAATGTATGCAAGTGCTGTGATTTAGATCAACGGCGGAAAGTGCAGTTTAGTACGGTTGTCAGAGAAACCACGGAAATTGCAGAATTGATTCACTTAGATGTTCGCAGTTGTCGCGATTTCCTTCGAGGAAGAGTGCCGATTTATGCTAACGTTGTTGATGACTACTCGAGGAAGACTTGGGTGTTTGTGCTTAGGCACAAGTTTGATCTTGTTGTCGGGATCGGCAGGTTGAAAGCTTTGATCAAAAAGGAGACTCGGTAAAACGATCAAGGGTGCGATCGACAGAGTGCATGGAGTTTTGCTCAAGCTGTTAAATGAATTCTGCATGAAGGAAGGCATAGTGAAACACCGCACTAGTGCCATTGAACCACAACAGGTTGCAGAGTTGATGAGCAGAACATTACTAGAGACGGCCCATAAAATGCTCTCTAGTGCTGGTATGGCTAGAAGGTTTCTAGTGGATGCGCTTAGTACGGCGAGCTACCTGAAGAATAGATCCCCATCGACTGCAATTGAATGTCGGACTCCCGAAGAAGTGTGGTCAGGTAGCGTTGCTGATTATTCTGTTCTTAGAATATTTGGTTGTCCATGTTATGTTCGAGTTTGTGATGGTAAGCTCGATGGAAGGACAAGAAAGTGCATGTTCCTAGGTTATGCACAAGGTGAGCGGGGCTATAAGTTGTGGTGCCCGAATTAAATTCACCTGTTATCGCAGAGAAGTTACATTTGACGAGTCTCCGCATTTCCGGCTAGGAGTGTTAATAGCAGTGTTTATACGGATCTGAACGGTGTTCAGGTTGAGGTGGAGTTGCAACCAGAAACTCCTGAGATAGCGGGTACTAACGAAATAATCGACACAGATGGTGCTTATAGCGAGGTGGAGCCTATTGAGCCAACGGTTGCTGTAACTGCTGAAATTGACAAGGTGCGTATTCGATCTCCGAATAGATATGGATGCAATGATGGTTTTGCTTTATCTGCAATTGAGGAGGTTGTGTCGGAAAATCCTTGTAAAGCGGTTAAAGGTGCATGTGGAGTTGGTATTCTGATGAGGTCCACGGCTATGGCGAAGTTCAAGCGAGGCTTGGACTTGAAAGACGTCTGTGGCGGTTGAGCCCATTGGGGCTGTGGGAGAGTAGTAGCGGAATTCGGATTCTATTGAAGCGATTGTTACTTGGCTCAAACGTCGAGCCAAGGTGGAGATTGTTGAAAATATGTCTCGAGTTTAAGCCCGAAGCGGAAATCTAAATATTCTGAATATGATATTTTGCGGATCTCCGAAACCGAGCAAAAAGGAAATATTTGAAATTCACTTTCCTAATGCACGTTGGAGTCCTTGTTCTCAAACTGAAAAGTTCACATGAATTTTATGTTGAACTTTAACTCGGTCAATGTGTTAGAAGAAAGAAAGAATATTATTCTTTCCTAATGCTTGTGGAATTCACGGCCAAAGGGAAAGATAAAATAGGAAAGTCCAAAATTTGTTTTTGGTTGACCATGTATTACGTGGACTTTGTTTCCTATTTGACGTGGCAATCTTCACGATGGAATTTTGCACTTCCTCTGGCGGTGGGTTTAATATAAATACTTATCAAGATTCCTTTGGAGAAGTCAGAGAAGTATTGAAGCGCCGCGGTTGACGTCGAGTGCTTGGCGTGGGTTTATCTCCCTGGGATTTTGTTCGTAGAATTACACCAAGAGCTCAAGTGTTCGTAG